CCAGAACTGGTATGCATTTAAGATTTAGCTAGAGTGGATTGACTCCTGTTATCCTAAAGATACTATTGTTGCAGAACATGGAGGGCATCCAAAGAGTTCTCTAAAAGGGTCTCTTAAGATCAGAAGCATCGAAATCAAAATAACTCAACAGGTAAAAAAAGGCAGTAAGAAAAAACACCTTGAAAGCTAACAAATAGAAAGGGAGATTTTCCTACTTTTTCCTTACTCTTGTTATTCACAAATAATGTACTAATAGAAGAACCTGCCGAGACCTGGGGGACTCTTCCTCCCCTGTGCATTTTTTTTGGTCTTTGCTTTTGGCACAGTTTTAACATATGAGCAGTACAGTTTTGGCTTATGCTGTCAGAGTCAATAATATGATAGTGCTTCTGTTATGAAGAGGAAACTAGTTGGAGTTAAGCTATGTTGCAGCTGTATCAAGTATGTGGACACATTTTTAGTGTCTAATGAGGTTCCTGTTACAAAACAGAGACCTCTAGGGCTTGCTGACGTCCATTGCCTATAATTGCCATGCTTTTGTCATTGTGTGTACATGGATTTCATATCGTAGGACACTTGAGCTAAGCATGCGTGGACCCCTTGGCAGCATCAAAGGCTATATATTACCTCCTCCAGGGTCCTCCTCCCTCACCAAGGCTCATAGCTCCTACTGAAACAAATATATTTCCAGGATGAATCGTCATAATGGAGAGATACATCTGAAAGAGCACTCCTAATATCTCTTAGCCTTTCTAGGGATTGCTTGCTGAACATAGTAATTGCTCTAGCATGGATTTCCTGGCTAATATGACTATTTTTCCTTAAGATATTGAACTGTATTTTATTTGTGTTATGGACCTATGTTGGTCACAGCATTGTATAACTAGTCCCAAAGGAAAACAAACCAATCTGGCCTGAAAATTGTTGCACAACTATACTAGCAATGCTTTGTATCTGAATGTGCTCTAGATATAAATTAATAATCACAAAAGCCCAGGTAAAAGAGAAAAAGAAAAAAGGAGGAGAATACTTTATATCTCAAGTCTTCCTTCAAGGTTTAGACATGCTTTGTATTTGAAGAGTATTATTTTACAGGCTAAGAAGAGGCAAAAGTGGAACAACCTTTGCCTAGAATAAGGCATACAAAATGGGATTTCTTTTTTTCTTAAAGAACCTAGGCACCTACCTGTGAGCAGGTTGAATAAGTACATTTGCTAGGGCATGATTCATGTCATGGTAAAGCAGATGTCCAAAACGGATCAGATGAGTCCTGTTGCAAAATTCCTCCATTCTGTCCAGGGACAACACTAACAGTTTGGCTCCTACCTCAGTGAGAAATGTCTGTATTTTAGATGTGTAAGTGAGGCTGGAACCGCTCTTAGCATGCAAGGTTCTTCTGGAATTCATTCTGAACAGCCCCAATAATTTATCTGGGATAAAAGGAGTTAATTAGGATGAATCCCTACAATGGAAAGGGAATTTGGCAATTGGCCCATTAACTTCAATGAAGTCTGCACATCTATTCTTTACTAAAGACTTCGGTCCTTTTCATGTGCATGAGGGAAAAGGGTTTTATGTGAATATGATGAAAATATTTTACCTCTCTTAGCCTGAAAAGAATCTTAATGATAAGCCAAGTGTAAGTAGGCATTTTGGAAGAACTTCATAGGACAAGCTTTCGGTGATTTCAAGGAGCTTAGATTTTCCTGCAGAGACTTTTTTTCTTGCAAATGTATGTGTAAGTCCTCTGAATTACATAGCTCAGATTATTAAAAACAAAACAAACCCAAGAACAGTAGCCAAAGTTTTTGGAAATAATGAACCTCTCCACTTTCTGAATTTGGCATTTTAGTGTTGGCTAATTTAATTGTTTGCGCAAACCCCATAAATAGCCTAGACAGGTTACTGATACCAGACATAATATTGCTTGTGTTAAGTCTCTTATCAAGTTTTTATCTGGATGCCAACCAGCTTAGTAAAAAGCTGCTATTTGTGTTCTTTAACAATATAGCAAGTGACCTTCATGAATTTGGTGACTTCATAAATGCTCTTTGTGGTTTCATGTTGATTGAAACTGAGGGATATTGAAAGGACCACAGTCAACCCAGCACGGAGTCATTTATTCCAGGCACAATTTAAAAATTAATTAAGCTGAATTTTAAAGTAACCTTTAACATATGGAAATATTCTGGCTGTCCAGCTTTCATTTTGGTACCCTTGCAGGCAGCTCTGAAGAAAAAAAAGCGAAACCAACAAAACCAATCAATAATTCAAAAACCAAGTTCAACTCTCTTAGATCTTCCATTCCAAATCCCAATGAAGCTGAATGTGTAACTTGGATGTGGTCTTCAAGATAGGTCAACCTGTGATGCTCATTTTATGTTTAGAGCTTTCTGAACATAAAAATGAGTGGAGCTGGCCCAAAAGACTGCTGGCAGAAGGTTAGGTCATCCCACATGTGCTGCCAGCCAGCTGTTCAAGGAAGAATGCCATTTACCTTCCCTCAGGAAGAAATTGAGAGGAAAGGTAGCAGGAGACAGTGGCAATAGCTGGGGTTGTAATGGGACGGAGAGAGGAAAAAAGAAGCAAGGAATGCTATTGCTTGGGGTACATAAGGATTCCATGTTGTTGGCATACTGTGCCAACGTGGCATGATCTTCCTTGGTGCTGCTATGCATTCAGCTCTGCCTGTTCCAGGCTAGTAGACCCCACACCAGATTCTGATCTTGAGCTATTGAGAGTATCCCCTTATGGCCTCAAAGTTGGAAGGAGAATAAAATCAAAGGGAATCAGGAAAAGCCTCCACGCTCATTATGAAAACAAAACTGTGCTAGGAAACATGATGCGTATTTCTTTTAATCAAAAGCAGGAAGACATTTGGAGCACTTGGGGCCACCGATTGCCCTCCAGCCCATGGCGGAAGTCCCCGGTGATGTCAGTGGGAGCTCTGCACGCGAATAGCTGGGGCACGGAGATGCCTTGGTGTACCACTGCAGGGAGTGTACCAAGAAAGACTGTGACCGAGCTTCAAAGCCTACCTAGAGCAACCAGGGTGCTCAGCTGACTTTAACAGAGCACTTTGTTGACTTGTCCAGGCACAAACGTGCATTTCCATTGAAGAAGAAGAAGAAAGAAAAGCCAAACATGGTGTTTTATACTTGTTTCCTGTCCCTGCCTTCAGATGGGCAGGAATCCTGTGAGGTCTGAGCTGCACAACCCCCACTGCCTCAATATTGGCATCAGTCAGTGGTGACACTCTGTCTGCAGACAGCACTTGTAGTCCGCAGAACAGCTCTTCCTCACACTTAAAATGATCTGGAGATTATGATACAGGAAGCTACTTTGCAAAGCTTGCTGGTTTTGAGCAGGAGCTCTTAATTTCATGACAAAGACAAATGAGACTTTGGGGAGTAGTAAATCGGTTTGTTTGGTTATATTAAGGGGCAGGTGACCTCTTCTGTGGCTGCAGCCCCTGAAACAAAAAAGGTTCTTCTCCCCATACCACAAACAGGTTCATTCTTGGTCTATCCTTGAATTGCACTGCTGAGGAAATGTCAGCCTAACAAGTCCTTAGGGCATTTTTTATTACATATGCATCCTCTATTAGTCATAAGTTCCTTTTGCTATCTCAGTGGACATTTAATACCTACTGTTAAATAATTCTTTGTGGATATCATTTCAGAACGCTTGTGTAACAGCTTCATTAAACCTCTTTACATTTGAGATACTCTGCCTTATAGAGTATGAATTAGAGTAGAATTTGTTTCTCTTCCTGTTTGATGTCTCAAACAAAAGTATTATTGCATATAATAAGAAAAGAGGATTGTAAGGGCAGAACAGCTTGATGACACCGGGAAGTGCATATCATACTTTTGAAGGAGATGCAAAACTAATGTATTTGAAAAAGTACTTGAGTGAACATAGGTCAACATGCAGAAGTCTGGGGCCAGAACACTTGAATAAAGTATTACAATTTGAGGATTTATAAGGGATTCGTTCTTGCTAGCTTTAGTAATTTCTTATCCAAGTAAGATTTCCATTGTTATTTGTAAGATTTTTGACTGAGTGAAAATAATGGGATTTGCCTGAAAAAGCATCAGAGCTGTAGATAAGCATGGAATTAAGATCTGAATGTTCCACTTTTTCAGGAGTTACAAACCAAACCTTATGTGAATTTGGAGGTAGTCTAGCTGCGGTATGAGTCAAACTGAACCTTCAGATCTGAACACCTGCAAAGAAGATTTGGAGCTAGAGACTGTAGCTTGAGCCCCTCTTTGTTAAGTGGTCCAAACAATAGCAGCAGCAATGTTTCCCTGTTCCCAGAGCAAGCTATTTATGACAATGCCCTTTGTTAAAGGGATTGTTCAAGGGACGGTAAATTACTCTGCCAAGCTTTAGTTATTGAGTCAAGAGGAATTAATGTTTTCCTGGCATTTTCATTTGCCTTGTCACTTAAAAAAGAGACACATAGCTATTGTGATAGTGGAAAGGAGGAGAAGAATTAACTCTTGGTAGTCTGTATTCTCAGAGTTGAAAATACGGCTGGATTATCAGAGTAGATTTTTACCTGGTGCAGCCAACATGATTTTTTCCTATAAATTTCCTTGCAGACAGTAGGAATATGTACTTTGTAGAGATTTCCTGATAAGTGAATTTCAGGTCACTTCTCATATAATTACTTTTCCTGGTGATAATAAATAGAAATGCCATGAATTAGGCCCATAGCAGTAGAGATGTTGCTGTAAGGGGGAAAAATGGGCTTCAAATGTCTGGAAATTTAAAGGACATCTCAAGATACTGCTATTGATATTGAACGATAAATCTTATAAAAATAAATATTTATAAATATAATATTTTCAAATATTTAATAATAATTTGCTGAACACGTTTAGACAAAAATAAACAGAAGATGGATTTCAGGACTTAGTTTAGCTTTTGTTATGGACAGGGTTAGTCTGTTCTTTCACGACTGTGTGCACTGTTACAATTTCCACTGTTACACTGTCTTAAAGTTTCAGATATTAACCCATTTTTTTCCTTCTCCTGCAGATACAAGCAATCCATTTGTAGAGATGCACAGTGATATACCTAAAATAATACACATGACTGTGGGAAGAGAAATGATCATCCCATGCAGAGTCACAGCACCAAACATTGCTGTTACTTTAAAAAAGGTACCTCTATCCAAGCATGCTCTGAAAGTGTAAATACGGATGATGCTTTTTGTTTGTTTGTTTGTTTGTCTACAGCTATTGTAAGGTTTTTGAAATATTTTAGCACTTTAGTGTTTCTTATGCAACATTTCTTGGTGTCAATGTGTTTCAACCCTGGAGGCTTTGTTTTGTATCTCACGGAAGGGCTTCATCAAATCTCCTACACTGAGCGACAATTTTCTGAAGAAACTTAAACTTTACATACTACTTTATTAAATCCTCACTGACAAAGGTTTCTTAAGCCCAGAAGGGAATTTCTTGTTAGGAGAAAAGATTTCCTCCCACCTCTTCGTCTAACCTTCCTCCCTTTTCCTCTTCTGTCCTCTGGAACAGCCAGTAAGTGCAGTCCCTGGAGACTTGCTGGGACTGGACAAGGATCTCTGCAAGCCTTTGCCCTACCTCACTCCAACCAGCGCCTTTGCTGCTTCCTTTTACACATAAAGAGATGGCTTCTCTTTATGGGGAAATTTTGCAGGGAAACAGCAGAGTTCGATGTGGTGGGACTAATTTTAGAAAAAAATGGACATTTTTGTGTTTTGGGAAAAATATTTATTTCCTAGGTGCCTTGAGGGTTACATGGACAGCTAACTGAACTCTATGTATGTAGTAAAGTACCTGGTATCAAGACAGAGAATGGGGCATTTTCTAAAGTTCCGGAGTTTTTTGCTTAAAAATTAGGTGGAGGTGCCTGTGATGTTTTGTTTCTAAATAAAAGGAGTTCTGTACATGGTGGCATGAAAGTTGACACTGTTAAAAGGAAAAGAAATTTGTATCTTTATGAAATAATATGCAATTGCCAAACAATACCACCATAAGATGCTTATCTAGTTTAATACAAGTCTTTTGTTTCCTCTTGACTGCAGAGTTTTACACCAGCCATAGATTTGATCCTGTGTTTTGTCTTGACCTGGAGGTTTACCAATTCTACACAGTGCTACTTTGCTAATATAGATACTGATTTTTCTTCTTGTTTTTCACCCGTTAAATCCCATGAAAGAAAGGAAAATATAAAGGAAAGAAAGGAAAATGTAAAGAAAAGAAAGTGACTTGACCCAGGATATTACCCTATGTGTGTCTATGTATACACGCGCGCACACACACACACACACACACACACAGAGACACACAGTTATGCTGCAAGAAGATGCACAAGACTGTGTGGCTATTGAATCAAAAGTAAATGAGGCTTAGCTTTCCATAGAGGAAATGTTGTAAAGTGGGAACTTATTTGGGCACTGTAGTGTTGCATCTGAAATCTCAGCGTATTAAATTTCTAACTAAGAAAATTCCTGTCAGGTTTCTCTCCTACTAAACAATATTAAAAAAAATATTTTTCCTTATTCGGAGAAGATTGAGCCATAGCTACTCTTTTTTTCATATCACCTTGCCTTTAGCTTGGCATTGTGGTGTAAGGCATACATCTTTACACCATCAAAAACAGATGTAATACTCTCAGAAGGAGAAAGAGAAGGCGGAGCCAAGTCTTGAAAGAAAGGATTGGTTGCTTACATGTTTTGCATTCCAGGAAAAATAAAATGTGTTCCCTAATTAATCCCAGAATTTCCTGAAGCATGTACGCTACAATGCATTACATCATATCTTACTTTATTTATCATCTGTGACACCCTTATATGAAGATTCCAGCAAGGTTGTGCTCCCATAGCAATTAAGAGACGTGTTAAATGCATTTCACAGCTGCAGGAATACTACTCCTGGAGAAATGGCAAGAGCTATTTTATGTTTTCCATCAATGATAAAGGAAGAAGTCGGTGTCCCCAGAATCACCAAATCACAGAATACACTGAGTTGGAAGGGACCCACAAGGATCATCAAGTCCAATCCTTAGCCCTGCACAGGGCCATCTCCAAGAGTGACACCATGTGCCTGAGAATATTGTCCAAATGCTTCTTGAGATGTCAGACTTGGTTCTGTGACTACTTCTCCGTGGAGCCTGTTCCAGTGCCCAACCATCCTCTGTGACAAGAACCTTTTTCTAATATTCAGCCTAAACCTCCCCTGACACAACTTCAGGTCATTCCCTTGGGTTCTGTCATTGGTCACCACAGAGAAGAGATCAGTGTCTACCTCTCCTCTTCCCCTCACAAGGAAGTTGCAGATTGCAATGAGGTCTCCCCTCAGTTTCCTTTTCTCCAGGCTGAACAGACCAAATGGCCTCAGCCGCTCCTCATACGGCTTCCCCTCAAGGCACTTCACCATCTTCATTTGGACATTCTGTAGTAGCTTAATATCTTTTCTATGTTGTGGCTCCAAAAACTGCACACAATATTCCAGGTGAGGCAGCTCCAGTGCAGAGCAGGGTGGGACAATCCCCTCCCTTGACCAGCTGGTAATGCTTTGCCTGATGCCCCCCAGGACATGGTTGGCCCTCCTGGCTGCCAGGGCGTATTCAACTTGCTGTCGACCAGGACCCCCAGGTCCCTTTGCGTGACACTGCTTTCCAGCATCTCATTCCCCAGTCTGTATGCGTATCCAGGGTTGCCCCATCCCAGAATCTGGCACTTCCCCTTGTTTAACTTCATACAGATGGTGATTGCCCAGTTGTCTTATTAGCTGAGGTCTCTCTGCAGGGCCTCCCTGCCTTTGAAGGAGTCAACAGCTGCTCCCAGTTTTGTGTGATCTGCAAACTTGCTTAGTATCCCTTCCAGTCCTGCATCCAAGTAATTTATGAAGGTGTTGAAGAACACAGGGCTCAAGATGGACGCTAGTGACAGATTGTCAGTCTGATGTTACCCTATCCACTATTACCTTGTGCTTGATGTGTGAGCTAATTGTTCACACATCACATGATGTATTTATGCAGCTGTGTGCTGGACATTTTGTCCAGAAGGATCCTGTGAGAGACAGTATCAAAAGCTTTGCTGAAATCCAGAAAGATTAAATCAACTGGCTTTCCTTGATCAACTATGAGGGTTACCTTGTCATAGAAGGAAATCAGGTTTGATAAGCAGGACTTTCTTCTCATGAAGCTGTGCTGACTGTGACCAATGATGATGATGTCCTTACGGTGTTTTTCAATACCTCCCAGAATAATCTTCTCCATAACTTTACCAGGCACTGAAGTGAGACTGACAGGCCTCTAGTTTCCTTGGTCCTCCTTCTTGCTCTTCTGGAAAGTTGGGGCAACGTTTACTAGCTTCCACTCAGCTGGGACCTCTCTGGATTCCCAAGACTACTCAAAAATCACCGAGAGAGGCTTTCCAATGACATCAGCCAGCTGGGATGAGTCTCATCAGGCTGCATAGACTTGTGGGGATCCAGCTGGAGCAGCAGATCCCACACAATTTCAGGGTCATCTGGGAGCTGATCATTCTCGCTGTCTTGGTCCTCCAGCTCAAGGCACTGAGATCCCCTTGGTCTGTCACCCATGTTGAAGACAGAGGCAAAAAAAGGGTTAAACACCTCTGCCTTGTCTCCGTCTCTGTGAGATGATAATCCTCGTCCTGTGAAGGGCCAATGATATTTCTATACTGCCTTTTGCCATTAATATATTTGAAAAAAACTCTTTTCATTGTCCTCCACATTTCTGGCAAGCTTGAACTCCAGTTGAGCTTTGACCACACAAATTTTCTTGCTACAGTGGCAAGCAGCATCTCTGAATTCTTCCCATGTAATGCAGTCCTCTGGAGCTGGAAAGAAAATCCCACCATTAGGGTCATTAGGTTCTTCATTCTATATGGTCAGGAAGTAAAAATATGAAATATTTTTTTTTGCAATCTCTCTCTTCTGGAAGGACTCACTACAGGTATATGAGCACTGCCTCCAGCATTTTTTTCCTGTGCAGTGCTACTTCTTAATTTTAGTGGACAAATGTGGGAAAGGTTTATTATCCATCTTCAACACTCAAATGATTTTTTTTCCATCTTTACCTTAGTCAACCTTTTGAGAGACTGTGTTGTTCTCACTTCCAGGCTGAACATCTGTAAAAGTTGTATTTTACAGCATGGCAATCACAGACAACATAGGAGGAGGATCCTCAAAATTCAAGAAGCTAATAACACAGACTGGGAACTGGGGATGGAGCTTTTAATTCCTATTTCAAATTTAGCCTTCAGGTCCTGTTATAACCTTTATCTGCAACAACTGCTGTCTGTTTCTCTTCCTCATCATATGAAGACTGTGAAATCAATTGATAGTTTTGATCTAATGCTTAATACCTGGGTATCCAGAGCCTCTTAAACCATCATTCCTATCAATATGATTCTAGATGCCTCATTTAAGATCCCTAAAATAAGATAATCCTTACTGCAAGTAAGGTGTGTACTTCTCTTACCTCTTAATTTGCTTTAATCTTGCTAAATGAAGAAAGCATCACCTTTTGGTACAATGGTTTGATCCCTCTGTTTATTCTCCTTCTGGATTGTCTGTCATAAAGTCAACAATGACATTCATGGGAAGAGAGATAAATAAGCTTCAGCATAAAGAATAAAAAGAGGAAAAAAACCTAGGGATGTTGCAAGTCATGCAGTCTGAATTGTTAATAATGCCACCTCATGCTTCCCAAATTGACAGGAAGGGAAGCATGAAAGAAAAGACAGGTATTCAAAACTCTAATGTACACTTTTACTAAGCTTTCAGCTAGCTCTTTCTAGTAAAATCTACCTTTGGAAATGTGGGGAACCACACCTTGTCTATACACTCTTGCCCATATGTATGTACCCAAATCTGTGTGGTGGTTGAGCAAGTTTCAAGCTGGCTTCCCGCCAAATCTCCAAAGCTCAGCGTAAGCCTTTTCCCTCCCTCCCCCTTTAGGCAAAGGGAAAATAAACTATAGAAATTGAGAGAAATCGAAACCAACCGAACTATATCAAAAATATATATTTACATATATTTACAATTATATATACAATTTGAATATATTGTACACACGATAGGGAACTTCTGAGGGGAAAAAAAGGGAAAAGGGGGGGGGAAAAAGGGATAAAAAAACCTAAAAACCCCCAAATATCCTCCAAATATACCCTGTTAATAGAAAGCTAGCGCATAAATACAAAAAACCAAATTTAATACTCCCCTGAACAAGACAGCAGAACTGTGAGAGGTACCAGCCAACTCCCCACGCCTTCCAAAGGGACCGGAGATAACGGCAGGTCTAAACAGGCAGGCCGTGGCCTATAAAAGCAAAGACTGCCTGAGGAGAGACCTGTCGTCTTCAGCCACCGGAAGAGAGAAGAGAGCAAGCTCTCTTGATCTGCGCCTTATTTATAAGTTGTGTTACGTTAAAGGATGATATGGAATACTTCCTTAGATTTCTGACCCCCGTTGCTAAGGAAGGCCTAAAAAATCCAAAAGCCAACCCACTACAGTAGTACTGTGTTAGTGCTACTAGGTAGCAAAAAGATTTAGTGGTTGGTGCTAAGCAAAGAAGGAGGCACAGCCTATACCAAAAGAAACTGAAGTTTAGTTTGAAACAAAGAAGGTAAAAGGCCAAGACTGCACTGGCAGCCACAGTGATGTGGTTCATGCAGATAAGTATGTAGACAATAAATTCCATGTTTACTGCAGCCGTCACAACAAACTGATTCTTTGAATGCCTCTGACTCGCTGCTGGTACCCATCTGTAAGCTAGTATTGCAACTGAATTTATCCTCTGCTGCTTCAGTGGAAATCTCACTGTTCCAGCACTTCATACATTTTCTACATCTCTTTGTGATGACCAAATGGCCAAGTTTTCGACAAGGCCCTGAACTACATGGGCCCTGCTCTGCACAGGTACAGGACCAGATGATCTCTAGAGGTCCCTTCCAACCTGAATTATTGTGTGATTCTGGGATCCTCTGTCCTTTGTCATCCATGCAGTGATCAGCATGGTGATGATGCCATGTCTCTAGTTGACGGCTTGGAAGCTGGTTTAGGGAAGAGCAAAGCAACTCTCATTCTCTGAGAGTGGAACATAAGACATCTGAACCAGCGGGGTTGGCAGAGGAGAACAGTGTGGAGGAGAGCTGGGTAAGAAACTGAAGCAAGTAAGGAGAGAGGGTAGAGCTGTGAAGGGCTCTGAAGGTGAGCACCCAGCCACCAACCCATGTTCTCATCTGAGAAACAGTCCTGGTATTTCCATCCTCTGAAAGGGACTTGTTGTAGTATCTTGTTTTATTTTGTTTCATTTAGAACAGGAATGGCAACAGAGCTCTTAAAAGCCAAGATATTGTTGAATGGTAGCTATCAGTCTGTAATATAATGGGCTTTACTTTGGGGGAGGGGAGGTGTAACACACTCTTCCCCCATGATTTGCGCGCTTATTATAGTATCTTATCAGCTGTTGTAAAGATAAGGAATTCTACCAGAGCATTTTGTGCTCTATATTTATTGTTTATTTGATTCATCATGTATTTATTTCTTTTGGAAGAAATGGCATGAGATGAGTGAATGTGATCTCAAGGGTAGCTTTCTGCATACACTGAGCAGGCAACATCAAGGATGCCATATTTTGGAGAGAAGCTGTACCACACAGGAAGGAGCTGGACAGCTGTGCTTCCCCCAGCCTCTGACAGCCACCCATGCTGGCTTTGGCTGGAGGAAGGAGAGGGCTGGCCAACACATAAGTCGTCTGCTCAAATAAAGGGGAAGAAAGAGATGAAGAGTCGTTATGTGACTGGTGCACAGTGAGAAGCGATGGGCTGCAAGGTGCTTAGTTGATCCAGGGATCTTTGCTTAGGGCCCCAATTCACTTAAATTCTACTCTGTACCATCTTTAAAAATATCTTATTTTTGCCATAAAAGCAGGTGTTACCAGAGCAGAGTCACATCCAGACTTTGTACCCATGGCTGATCTCTGTGTTACCCAAATGGGGGCATTTATTCCATCAATAACATATAACAAAAAAGCATGAGATTTTGTCTGACCTTCAATGCCTATGTCATGCTTTGCCTTTTCAGGGTTTTCTTTATACCTTATTAATATGGGGCTTAAAGCACAAAGGATTGTAATGTAAAATATAACTTGTACTGGTGACAAAGTGAATGCTTGATCCCACATGGCAATACTTAATTTTTATTTTTTAAGTTGTTTGGACAACATAAATGAGAGATGCATCAAATTGAATCCTGGCAGGAATTTGTTAAAGCCATGAAATGACAGCAAACTAAGTCCATTTGTCACCTCCATTGAAAAATGTGTATTTGTGTCTCTGTGGTGAAACCAGGATACTTAATTGCAAAGGTTCATGGAGATGAGCACTTTAGCTGCCAACTAGGAGCCAACAGACCGACAGCCCAAGTGCTGAAATTAATGATAGTGTCAATCTATTGTGTCATAAATTACATCCTGTTATAAATAATGAAATCTTGGAAACAAATACAACATTCACATTCTTCGCACAGATTTTTCCTTTATTTTGTGATGAAAATGTGACTTGAAAAACCTGCCTCATTAAATGTCATCCTTTCTGCTTTGATTGGCATTTTTTTAGGGTGTTTTTTTCCTCATTCCTTTTTATTAGGATACTTTGATTAGAGAGTAGGCATGAGGAGGAGTTGTTTTTATGATGCGTGTTTGACACTTCCAGATTCCACGAGAAACCCTAATTCCTGATGGCAAGACAATCATCTGGGACAGCATGAAAGGCTTCAGAATACCTAAAGCGACCTACAAATTCATAGGGCTCCTGAGCTGCGAGACAACTGTCGGTGGACACACATATAGCACAAAGTACCTAACGCATCGAGAAAGTATGTAGCGTTCGCCATTCCCTGTCTTTCAGAAAGCACTCTTCCCTGCTGACATTACTAATTTTTCTCTCTTTGTCACATGCAGCCAACACAATTTTCGATGTTCAGTTAAGCACCCCACGTCTTGTCAAGATGCTGAAGGGAGACAGCCTAGCACTTAACTGCACTGTCACTGCAGCCTGGAACACCAGAGTGCAGATGACATGGACTTATCCTGGGGAGGTGAGCACTGTGACTGAAATAAAGAAACCAGAAGTTTCCCACAGATCATGCTGCATCTATCATCCTGGGAGGAATTCTGCTTCGGAATGCTTGCCATGGTTTGCATTCCATCATTTTGACCCTTGCTGACGTGTCTCTCTTAAGGTTCCTTTTTTTTCTTTCTGGTGCTTAATTGAATAAGTAAACATGTTTACACAATGTGCTCTGGTTATATTGCATAATCACAAGCGAACACTAGAATTGTTTCATGTCTGGGAGCTTCTTTTTGACCCGGTGAAATAATAAAAATTCATCACCCAGTTCCAGGCAGGAACATACTCTTGTGACAAAAAAGTTTTCAGTGAGGCTGGCTTTCTCAACTCATTCATTTCAAAGACTGGTAGACAATCAGGCACCCAACTTGAGCATGTTTAGAAAAGATATTATGATTTAGCTAGCCAAAATCTCATTTGTCAAGTGTCACATGCACAATCCTCTTGTTTTGACAACTACAGGAATGATCTTGAATGTATTTCTCCACCCCCCACATTGGGAGCATCCTTATAAATATTTGTCACTTACAGAATAACTGCCAGGGAGTCCTTGTAAAGCTGATAAGAAATTTGACATTAGCTTAAGGTTTACAACTCCCATTCCTTTCATGTCAGTTTGATTTATGCTGATGATTCAAGTCAAGATCATTTATTATGTCACTCATTGTGTCTAATTACAAGCTGAAATTACGATTGCATTACATAGGAAAGATTAATGCAATTATTTATTATATACTGTAGCCATTTGCCCTGGCATTTTTTCACCCCAGAAGTAAACAACTTAGCAAGAAGAATTACTCCAAATATATTATATTGCTCATTACTGCCTTACCAAACCCCAGCTGGGCACTACACTTGTGAAATTCTGCTTTGTTTTTATTTTTATGGTAACTGAAGGGTGCTCAGTGTTCATAAGCCACCAACAACGTCCTGGGTTAAATAAACTTCAAGGCCAAAGGTTGAGGGGGAGTTGCAGGAAATAACTCCTCAGACTTTCATTATCTTCAGTTTCACCCTGCCATTCCGTTGCCAAATCTAGTCTATTTTCCGTCTGTAGCATTTCCAGAATTCTCCCCTTCTTGTGTTAATGTTTTCTTCTTCTATGTGTCTGCTGCCTATGGCACTGAAGCCAGGCACCAAACTATGTGCTGCTCTTCATATTGTGTTCTCAGGGATTTTTAGGAGCAAGGCTGGACAATACAGTGGGGAGCGGGGTATATTGGTATGGCAGGCTGTACAGAAGGGATGATCTTCCTCTGGAAAGTACTACTTTGGATGCTATTACAACTTTGGTGAAGATAGGGATGAATTGCCATTTAATGTTGCATATATGTTTTATTGTTGACCCCCTGGAAATGTTAAGCATCTTTTTATTACCTGTCTGTGCTGTACAGAGGGATCTGGGGTTTTTATTAAGTTATGGTGGCAGTACAGTAAAATAAAAATCCTAACAATCATGAAAATTGGCTTGATTAAGCTTTTTGGTTTTCATTTTTTTGGTTTTACAGACAAGGAGAAGAGGTTCTGTAACGCAGCGAATTGACCAGAAGAATACAGAGGCTAATATTTTTTACAGTATCCTTGTTGTTGACAAAGTGCGTGATATTGATAAAGGGCAATACACCTGCCATGTGAAGAGCGGGCCGTCCATCAAAGCTGTTAACACAACAGTCATTGTTTATGGTAAGAAGTGTTGCAGATTTATAGAATACAGAATGATCATATACCAAGGTCAGTCATATGATAGCTTTACATCTTGACAGAAAGTGGAAGTGAATTTGTAGCATATTCATCATAGGCAGAAAAAGGGAAACAAAGGAGGAAGGGTACTCAGGAGGGAGACCATGTGCCATTTCTTCCATGACTATTTTGTATTGTTGCCAGTAGACATGTTAATGTTCCATTTGATCCATTTTGTCTGCTAAATACTGTGATGACCTTGTCTTCAGTCAGTTCTACCAGATGCAGTCAGTGAAACTATAGTTTTTTGGGGAAAAAAAGTGCAAGCTGAATTTAAATAGAAGAATCCCACTTCCTCTTGTATGGTACTTTATGCATTGCTGTTTCTGAAAAATTAAGAAGATATAGATACCCTAGCTCTACATGGAGCAGGTAGCTTGTATATCATTCAAAAAATTAAACAAGGACAAGATACTGCAAATCATTAATATGGTTTTACAGTGGGAACCTTAAATGAGTTCCCCATGATCTGCCTGGGCCTTCTGTGAAGTCCAGCAGTTTCTGGCGTTATTTCAAAAGTATGTGAATTAGGGCTTTTGTGCATTGGGACTCCAGGAGAAGCTACCTTCTTTGTGCATCTTGTTACAATTAGGACTATGCAGGATCTTTGGGGAACCACTGGTGTTATAGACCAAGTGGCTGATGGGTGTCCTCTACAACAGATGACTCATGGTCAGAATATTGATTTGTTCATGTTTTCAGGGGTGTATCTTTTCTCTCTCACCTGGAAGTGTAGACTAAGCACCCTGTGTTGGTATTCTTAGAGAGTATTTCAGTCCATTCTCTCTATTTCAACTCTGGAGCATAGGGTGAATCATGATACCTACTTACTATATTCTTAAACAATTAACTGAAGCTGTTGGAAACTGAATTTTAGATTAAAGTTACAGTTAGAGAAACTGGAACTGTCAAAGTCAGCCTGTAAACTCTTATTCACATAAGCAGCCCCATCTGTGGGATTATATTATATTAGAAAGAGCCTGTGTGAATAAAGGCTTGCAGAATTAGGGTTGTATCTTTATAACATGACTTGTGTAATTAAACTACTTATTTGTCTTCTGCATGTTATTTTCAATGTACATAGCAAGTGTGAATAAATATTGCACTTGTTTAATAGATACCCCCCATCCTTATGCAATTTGTAATATAAGTAAATATTGCATTGTAAATTTGATAGATGCTATCAAAGGGACATTCAAACAGTTTTTCATTTTTGAATCTTTTATTTTGCACAAGCTGGCAGGGGAGGAAAAGATATTTTCCAATGTATTGTATGAATTTTTTGTTCTATTGCCTCTGGTAAAAGCCATCAGGTTGCCAGAGAGTTGGAGATATGGGGCAGAACAACTGAAAAAGCAAATTCCAGCAGGTTCAGATTGTTCTGTGAAGTGACAAAGATTTGATGGTTTAATGAAACAGCTGTTTACCAATGATACAGAAAGTTTCTGCCTTTTTCCTTTGCTATTTCTCTTAAGGTCCCTTAAATCCTCTTTGGCAGAATATTTTCTTTTGCAACATTAATTGATTCTTGGCCTGTAGAAGTAGAAAGGTCATCTGATCATCTAGTTCAGCTTCCCACATACCAAGAACCACTTAATCTCTTACGCGTTTTTTTCAGATGAAGCACAACATGAATTTGGCTAGAGTATATCTTCTCCAAGCAGATTCGTGCCCTGGGAACTGTATCTCAGTTTCTTGTATATTTGTGGTATTCTTTTCTATTTTACAGATCTCTAGGAGGTTAGGCTCTTTTCTTGTTGTTGCCATGTGGGAACATCAAAATTATTAATGATAATTTTTATTTGGATTCCTGTTCTTTCTAGTAGAGCAACTCTTTTTGCAGGAATAAAAATCAGTAATACAGTGCGCTTTTTTATTTTGTTTAAGATAAAATGTTCATTAATTTGAAACGTCGAAGAAAAACTGCGCTGGAGGCTGTAGCTGGAAGAAAATCCTATCGCTTGTCAGTGAAAGTGAAGGCATTTCCCTCTCCAGAGGTTATATGGTAGGACAACAGTTACTTTCAAATATGCATCTTGGACCTCTTCTTAGATGAATAGGACCCCTTGAAATGACAACAAACTGGAGGCAATGCGGTTCGGAAGTTTTATTGGAAGTTTCAGAGTTGCCCAGGGTTCTAACAATTTATGAGAACATTATCTCCATTTTGCAAGTGCAAAAAAGGAGATCTGGAAAGTTTAGAGACCCTGAAATGTGTTGGATGTGTCTCCTCTTGGACACTCTACAACTAAATATCTCTAGCAGCCTTGACTGAAGTGTCACATTCAGCTTCACTCAGACATAGATATGAGACCTGAACTTGCTTTTCAGACAGTAAGAGAAACAAAAGAAGGTTTTCATTAAAATAGCTGGTTGACTTGAGTCATACAGACATGCACTATTAGGAAAAAAAAGGGAGTTGGTACTATTACGTGGTGATCTGCAGGGTGTAGATCTACTTTAGTGACAGGGGTACTCACTTTATCTCATGTATACTGTGCTAAGAAATCTTTTGAACAGTTTTTGCATAATCCAAACTACTTTTATATAAAACAATGTTATCTATTCATGATCTGAAGTGGTTTTTTGTTTAAATCGTTTTAAACACCAGTAACTCTGTTCAATTCATTGCACCTCAACAAAGGATCTATGACAAGACTGATTAAGAAAACAAACCAGACATACATGAACAGTGAGAACTCATGTTACTCACAGCCAGGAATCACTTTTGCACCAAAAATATTGCTCCATTTTACAAAACCCTTACATTTATGGGTCCACATGGAAAATTAAGGGGTGAAAGTGGCACTGATGCTAGCCATTTATATGGCATATTCTGTTTCTCTAATGGTTGGGTTTTTGACTATACTGGCCGTTGACATATAGATCCAAAACTTCTGAAATAAAAAAAATCTCCAAACATTGAAAAAAGAATTTTAATTTTTTTTATTTATTTATCACTGTGAGGTTGATCAAACATTAGAACAAGTAATCCAGAGTGGCTGTGGAGTCTCCATCCTTGGAGATATCCAAAACCATACTGAAAATGGTCTTGGGCAACCTTCTGACCTTGCTTTGTACAGGGGATTGGACTAGACAAAGGCTCTTTCAGCTGTAACTATTCTGTGGTTTTGTAAAATACAAATACAGTGAAATGCCTAAATCTATAGCCCTTCGACCAAATTTTTAATGCTCCTCTAATAATAGTAAGAATTTTCTGTTAATACTTATTAAAACCTGTGAATCATTTTGATCAAGTCCAACATCATAGTGAATCTCTGTTGCACCCTTCTACTAACATCATGTTAACCTTCTTGCAACTTATTAAAATGTGGTTTACAATGTATTTTAGACTTTGAAGAAAAATGTTGTGCTTCAGGAATCTGTGTGTGAGCAACAGTTAGTACTTTCTGCGTTGATTTTCTGTTATCTTTGAAAACATTCACTTGATAGCAGGATATCTGATTCTTAAGTGCTTATCTAATCTACTTATTCTTCCTCTTCCTAAAATCACAGCTGTGCTTAGGCTACTGTAATCCTTTGTCCCAGGATGTATTCTGAGGTCATAAAAAAATGGTCACTGCAGGGATGATGCAACCTTTATTTCCATGAGTGACTCTTAGCCAGAATGGTTGTCTTCTAGACTAAATGGCAGCACAAGCATGGACAATTGGGATCTTCAGAGATAGAGTTGCAATTTTCAGCAACTCTCAAATGCCATAGAGCCCTGTCAGATCCTTAACAATTTAAACATATAGAATAGGTTTTCTTAAGTGCTTTACAAATTTCAGCAATCCTTTTTGAAAGGGAAGGATAATACTCTAGTAAACAGAATCTCAGACTGTAAATCCTTTACCAAAGATTGAGAAGTGTTGTGAAATGAAGAAACACAGGCAGTTTGACCAAAAATAACTTAAAAAATTTTGATTTCTGGAATTCTGTTAAACAGGTTAAAAGATGGGCTACCTGCTGCTGAAAAATGCGCCCGGTACATAGTTAAAGACTATTCATTAATCATCAAGGATGTTGCTGAGGAAGATGCTGGAAACTACACCATAATATTGACCATAAGACAGTGGAACTTGTCGAAGAACCTTACAGTTACTCTTACGGTAAATGGTAAGTTTGCAACCTGTTCCCATGCTTCTCCTGAACATGTAAATGCTGAATTTTCATTCAGCTGTATTGTCATTGATCTTGCACAGGTCAGGACTTTGCAGGTTTTCTTATTGACTTGCATGGGCCCAAATACAAGCCTCAGATGCTGTGTGGCAGACTGATCTTTGAGTCAGAAGGTGGACACTGGTTTTCATTAGAAGGGTTTCTGTCTTCCACAGTCACATACTTGTTTCTGATGACTTAAATGTGTTACTAACCGCTCATCTGACTTGATTTAGGACTGCTGGGTTGTTTTGTTCTCCTGGGAAATTTTCTTGTTACTCACACTGCAGGAATGTAGTATTTTTATGATCATGCTATACATTGGAAATGAGCTCGTTTTAATTGCTTTTCAATTTTTACTCTTTACAGTGAAACCCCAGATATACGAAAATGCTGTGTCATCATTCCCTGATCCCAATCTGTACTTACTGGGTGGCAAACAAGTGCTGACATGCACTGTGTATGGTATTCCTCAGCCTAAAATTACATGGATGTGGTATCCCTGTAAACAAAACCATTATAAAACAAGGTAGGACAACTTCCTTACTTTTATTTAGCATGTCTTCCCTTACTATTACACTTAAATATTTACTTTTTTTCTTACAAGAATAAAACTTGCTATCAGCATTGCTTAGTTAGCAAAGTTTGTATTCAGCAAAATATTTAAGCACGTGCTTAACTGCAGGGATATAAGATGTCATTCAACTAAGTACAACAAACATCTCAAACTAAGGATACTTGCTTTGAGATCAGTCAGAGAATGGACAGCATTTCCTAGAAGCACATGCTATTTTTCCCACTATGCCTTTCTTTGGGATTATGCTAATGACTGTCTTTCTGTGCCCTTCTCACCAAGAGGTGGCACTAGCAATCTCTCCATTTGCTAGAATAGATATAACCTGAAATTCTCCATTTTGAGGGCAGGTGAGGGCTGCATTTCCTCTATCTGGTATATTACCCTTGAAGGGCAAATCACAAAATTCTGAGTATTATTTATTTTTGCAAATAGGTGTAAGAGAAAAGAAGTCACATCTTTTAACTAGAGAAATATTGAGAAAGACCTATATGAAAATTTTCAATCTTTTAGTTTCTTTCAAGAGTTTATACAACTATGCATACTCTGGATTGAAATCTCAGTGCAGGGCTGAAGAAACAGTTGTTTCTTCCTTGGGAGCTGGGGTGGTGCTCATCCATTGTCAGATATTTCCTTCTGTCAACAAACACAGATCTGCACTACAGCACAGGAGAGCGTGTCATCAGAAAGAGAAATTAATAACCACAAGCAGGTGTTCAATTATGTGCTAAACTGTAGACTCCATTAAATGCTAATTAGGAGTGTGTTTGAGCAGGTGATCCAAGGAGAAATGTAACAATTTGAATCGGCTATTGGCTCTGTTACAAGGTTGTTTCCATACTTGATTCCAAATTGCTTCATAATTGTTCTGTGATATTCTCTTTAACCCTCTTCCCTTCCTTCTCCTTAAAGTACTCACTGAAAAAGTAGTCTGGAGAACACCATTTATAATGCTTTGCTTAAAAGGAGTGGAATGACTCCCTCTGAATAATATGGTGACAATTAACTATCACAGAAAGGCATAAATACCCAAGTAATTTCATTTTGTTTCCTGCTCCAGGAAGGGAGCAGAGTGGAGTACCTCAGCAGCTGGCACACCTTGCTCAGGCTGATGTCTGTGCCAGTTTGGGTGTTCTTCTTGAAGAATTGGAAAATCCTTTAATCCCACTTATTTCATTATACTTTCCTCTTTGTGTGAGGGAAAGTTTGCCTACATAACAGATTTAAGGTGCATATACCTTATGCAGATAAAAAACTTATCTTGTTCTGCCCTTACAGCATTTTTCTTGTATTTACCTGCCCAGTGTTAGGTTTCCAATATTAAAATGTTGCTCTGCTTGTGCTCAAGTTGTGCTTATTTTCATGCACAGATGTACCTTGTACCTTAAGTCAATAAACCTCCACAGGTGTATGGCATTCATGGTGTATGGCAGTAGGGATTCTCAGCAAATTTCTGAGTTGTGTGTCACAGGACAGAGCATCTACTCCAAGTAAAAAGATGTTGTTGCTGCAAAGATCGTGCAGTGCACAGATCTGTTTGCTCCAGGGTTTATATATGTGTTTAACTTCTCATCACTTGAGTAGTGTCACTGCAATCTGGAGGATGATGCATAGTGCATGTTAGATGCTTTTATTTTTGAAGGACTGTTGGCTACGACTTCCTTAATGGCAACTATTAGGTTATATGGCTGCTTCTTTCAATTTATTTTTGAAACAGTATTTCTGTTTCAGCAATCTAAAAATACCTCAATTAATTCCATTGTTTTTAAAAGCAGATGTAGTTTAATGCTTTGTGATTGATAGAATCAATTTGCATAACTTTTCTTTCCACTTCAGTCTGGCCAGTAACGGGAGACCAGCCAAACAAAATAATTTCCATAGTTTCCTCAAAACAAATTAAAAATTAAAAAAAAAAAAGAAGTTGTAAAATTGCTCAACAAATGTGAATTTTTGAAACATGGAAAGACCAACATCATTAAATTTTCCTGTTCTTTATTTTCTGTTACAATTACTTTATTTGAACCAACCCTATTGCCATTAAACAACTTTCTGTTAGCTAGCTAGCTAACTAGATAGATAGGTGGTAAGATTGTCTTCTGATGGTCACCCCAGCAAGGAAACACAGATGAGTCAAGAAAAACTGTCAGGGGCAAATTGTAATTTCTGGGGCTTTTTAAAGCTTATGTAGAGCTATTAAATTTAGAGATGACAGGCAAAAGACAGTAGAAGATGCAATGAGAAATAAAAGCAAGTAGGGAAAAAAAAAAATTAGCATTTCTTAAATGATTGAGAATCTTCTTCTCCAGGGCTACCTTACTTGCAGCTTACTCTGCTGCTCTGCAGCAGACACATACATTCCCAAGCTGGGAAGTCCGCAGTTGCTCAGTGGGTATAGCGGAGGACAGCTGGTGGGACACTTGTCCTGAAGTGTCCACCAGCCTCATTGGCCTATTCTCTACCACTCTGGAGCTGTTCTTTCTGTCCTGGTTTTGGCTCAGGTTGGGTTGTCAGCAGAGGTGTGTGGGGGCAGACAGTTGCAGAACTTCCTGAGGGTCTCCAGAGCGAGGCAGGCTGGGATCCACCTAAAATGGATCAGTTCTGAGGCTGCAGAACAAGTGTCTGCATGCCAGGAACGTGCTTGATGTTAATGGTTCTTGACCTGAATCTCTTCAGCAGATTTGTGTTTATCTTAAACTGGTCTGGCAGAGATTGCCAAGAAAGGCATGTGGGATACTGCTGTTGCTCAGCAGTTATGCAGTTTCATTTGGGGCCAGTTTCTCTCTCTGGACATTTCTATGTGGGCAGTTCAAGAGATATCTTTGAGCTCTGCCCAAGATTTAACTGATCTGCCCCTCAGAAACTGCAAACAGATGCCACACTGAAGTTTTACCATAGGTGTTCCAACTCTCCTATCACCTTGCTGCATCCCTCGCTCCTTGAGCTATCAGTTTTGCTTAGCTTTAAACTGAATACGAGATTATTATTTTACAACCCTGCCATCACATCAGTCTGTGGTTTTTTGGCTTTTGGGTTATTTTCTGTGTGTGTGTGTGCTTGAGGGAGAGAGAAACATAATGGTATTGTGAAGTTGCCTACAAAAACAAAGTCACAGGTAAAACTAGTACATGATTCTCTGCCTTCCTGACTATAGTGTCAGGATATGAACTCTTCTTGGTGGTAAAATCACCTAATGGTGGGATTGGAAATGAAGGGCTGAATACATGATGTTGAGGACAGAAGCAGGCAGCAGAGACCAGGGCTGTGCAACAATGCTGAAGCTGGTACTGCTGCCAAAGAGCTAATTTCAGGAAACCAAAATATTTGCAGCGCTCTGATGTGTGAGAGTCCTCATTGAAACCACTACTGATTTGACACAGAGTGATAAGAAGGGAATATCACCTCCCTTGGAGACTTGTATGCAGTATAAAGGCAGGGTCATGTGAATGACTTTCTATAAAAATAGTTTTCTATAGAATTTCTATAGAAATAACTCTCCAGCACTGCAGAGGGAGGAAGAGGAGCGTCTCTGGGAGGAAAAAAAATAGGGGTTTTCCTTGAAACTTCTGCAGACATACAGAAAGACTGAAACTAGCATAATGACATTGCACGGGCAGACTCCCACTGACTTCAGTGAAAGAGGAGGCAGGCCATGTGTGCATAGCAGTATAAGTACATTTCTGCATTGTTTATGTCAATGTATTAATAAGGGATTGAAAGGCAGAATCATTAGGATGTACTTGGAGAGATGATCAGGGGAAACCAGATTTGGAACATCAGTGAGGTATGTAAAATGAACAAGTAAAGAACAAACGTTAATTGTACTTAATTAGAAATGTACTGAACCACCCAAATTTAACTGTTGGATGTCTGCAAATGTTGATGCCCATTAGTTTGTCCACAGCAACTGGTTTTGTTCCCTGTGCCACCTTCTATTTTCAGGAAGGGGAAGTCTGAGTCCTTAGAGCTGGTAAAAGTAGGTCAGATGCCATTAATAAACAGGTAGTTCTAAAATGCCTTTGTTTCATTTGATATGTGGCTAGATCCTCAGCTCTAAATTCACACTGGCTGAGGATCTGGCTGATGGCCTTTGTGCCTTCCACTCTGTGCCATAAGAAATCTTCTTACAGCAATCTGGTAATGTAAAGGTACTTACAGGTACACCAAAAAATTACACTAGCTATTCCCTTATTTTGCTGCAGTTTGGGCAATAGATTAGTGTAAAAAAAAATCAAACCCTATGGTTTTTTTACATATCTTTCAAAAAAATGCAGATGAACTGCCATGACTGTACATTGTAGCAGCATGGGCTTGCAGGGAATTTGAAACCAAAAGAAAGAGAGGAGTGAAGTAGCATCTGATCTACTTCAACCTGAACAAGCAATATGTTGAAGTTTCTCATTCTGCACTTCCACTGGGACCCAAAATTCAATGCTTGCTTGCGAACACATTCTTTCCTCTGAAAACATGTAGTGGGGCTGTATCCTTGTCTTCAGTCAGTATTATGGAATTTTAAAATATTTTTTACTATTTTGCTTGCAAAATGCCATATGAATCAGACCTGGCACATACATATGGTTACATAAGCTTGACAAATACATACTTTACACCAAGTACAGTTTGCCTCAGTCTGTCCTCAGGGTAAGATGCTGATGAATTTATTCTGCAAGCTAGAAATTACTTCCTTATGGGTCTTAGTTGAACCAGAAGCTTAAGCTTTCAAATTTTGAAATTTCTAGTTTTCAAATCACTTTAAACCAAATTTTTAAAAAAAAAATTAAACCCAAAAGTATTATATTTTTTGTCATTGTTCAAACTTAAAACACAAGAACTACAGCAAGATCCAGGTGGTCAGGGATGCTCTGCTTAGTGTCACACTTTTATTCTCACTCACCTACTTTTTTTTACTTGCTCTCCCTTATTTTTTTTCTCCTAGTTTCTTTTTTTTTCCCTCTTGT